ATACAAGCATAATATCATTTCACTGAAAATAATTTTAAAGCAAACAGAAACCAGCTGTGCAATTCACAAAGTTGTTTGGTTTCAGTCCCTTCCCAGCACAAGTTCTTAAAACAAGCTTGTAATGTCAAATTGAATTTGGAATTCAAATAATTTTGCTTAAGAAAAGTGATTATCTGGGAAAAACACATCTTGAGAATCCCAAAACACTTTGAGGAAGAAAGACTATACATTTGGGCATTACTATTCAAGATGTAACACTCAGGGAGTTTGTGAACAGCACTCACTGGGTGAGCTGCAGATACACTCAGTTAATAGCCACCTTTTAATAACAGTGGACTTAGAGTTCATGGGAAATTAAAGATTCATTCACCATTGTCCCAACTTGGACAAGCAGATGGAGGGCTGACAAATCTGAATAGTTTCAGGGAATGGCATTGGCACCAGTCTGAGCACAGTGGGGTTATACTTTCCCTGCCTTTTTTACACTGTGATCTCCAGCTTTTCACTCTGCTCATGGAGGTGGAGCAACACAGAGATTCAATATAAGAACCAAATAAATATGTGCAAGACTGAACAGAGAATATAGTGCTGGAAGTGTGTTTCAGACTCTAGTCATCTAAATCAAATTTCCAAACATTAAAATCCTGAGGCATAATTGCCTCTGTATTTTCTTTTGTAATTGGCCTCTCCTTTCCCTGTAGCACAATTGAATGGAGATCTGTTTCCAAAGCACATTTGCAAATTATTTAGTATTTAATGCTTTTGACTCACAATCAATTTGCTGCTGCATCCTTATGTCTTATTCTGACAATGGTTTCCTTCAGAGTTTGCTCAGTAGAGCAGGAAGATGTTGCAAACTAATTCTCTGCAGTAACTGAAAGTCTGGCGATCCTATTTTGCTTGGGTTTCTCCTGCTCATCTAGTGCTACATGGGCAGTGTGGCAGCCATTTGAAATCTGGGATCTGGTATTAATAATTCTGCTCTTTTTTCACAGAATGTCTTTGGTTCTAGAGTCCTCAAATACAAATAATTCTGTGATTAACATTAGCTGCTCCAGTTCAAGAAGATGCAGTGATACCAGCATCTAAGGTTTTATCTTTCCACAAGTCTCTGAATTATTCTGATAAATGTATTATAAAAATCATTGTCAGCATATGTCCTTACTACCTGATGTCACTGTTGCTGGTAGCAAGCCGACAACAGAACAGAAAAGTCTCTTTTGCTCAGGTATTTTCTGCTTCTGAACTGCTTTTAACCATGGTTCCTCCAGCATTCATTCCCTGTGTGTTAAAATGGGCTAGATGAGTTATTTAGAGAACTACACACAGAGGGCTGTACTCTTTATGGATAGGCATGCACAGTACATAATCCTAAAATGCCCACTATCATAATGGCAATACAATCTCTTTATCATAAGAGATGCTACTCTGCATGGCCTATTACAGTGCTAACCCCAATGGAAATGATTCCTAATCTTTACCAAGAGAAATATAGTGCAAGTCTCCAAAATTATCATCTCTATAGACACATATTCTTTGGACTAATTAGAAACATTCCTATAGATAACAGCATAATCTTTGTAGGAATAATTAGAACAGCGATATGGATCCACAATACTCAAAGTTATTAGATAAAGTTAAAAGCATATGGAGCCTGGAGTTCATGTGATTCACTGTCTTATAAAGCTGATATCAATCCAAGGACTAAATGTGCACAGCGGAAAATATGAGACTTATCTTTGTTTACTATTTATAGTGACATGCAAAAACAGAGGGGAAACATTTGTCAACTAGATGGGTCTTATTTTCTACGAGAAACTTCAGCACATCTGATGACCATTTATAATCTCCTGGCAGTTCATTGAAGTAAATCCACATTTCTTTTGCAAAAAAAAAAATTATTTAAACATTACTTTTCCTCTGGCCAAAGCCCAACGAAAGTTAAAGTTATCTAAATGGGAGAAATCAAATGGAATAGTTCAAGCATATTTTCACATTCTGTCATTTTATGATTTGAAATTTTAGGTTACTTAGCTTGTAGAGGCTGAACTTCTTGAAAGTTTCAGATTCCAATGGGATTTTGTGAAAAACCTTTGTGATAAATCAATACTGGAGGGAAATGGTGATATTTTGGAACCAGAAACATATCATCCTAAAAGATTTTTGCCAGCATTTTATTGTATTTATCTATATATGACAAAGAAACAGTTTTCATCACGCCAGTCAGAGACACCTTGACATTTTTAATACATGTATTTGTCATTACTTTTGGAGGTCTGAAAGTGTCATTAGAATGAAATACACAGCTGATATCAGATTTCTGTCATTTTGCCTGCATAAAAAAGTGCTTTCTTATTAAGTGTACCACAGTACTTTACATTTCCCATCCATGAAAAAGTCCTTCATTTTGGGTTTCAGAGTGAAAAGGTGTGTGTCGCTCCAACAGCCATGATGGGCAGACAGCTGAATCCTCAGCCCACAGCTGTAAGCACGTCTGAGAACAATCCTGAAAAAGTTATTAGTAGCTTCCTGAAGCAGGGCTGATTTTCTGCTTACCCACCTGCATCTGTATAAATTCTCACTCTTTCATTCCAGCTCTCTAGGGACTGTTACACTAGCTGGCAGAGTAAATACAGAGGGAATATGTCCCTTCCCTCTGCTAATGCCAGCAGGGACTCACAACCAAGTGCAGCTGCGTAATGACTGCTAGAGGGCTAACAGCAGCTGCTGATCACTTCCAGAAATTCCTGGTGGAGCAATTATTTTTTTTTTCTTTCTGCTGGGTTGCTAATGAAGAAGGGAAGAAGTCTGCCCACTGGAAAAGCTCAAGTGAACAGCATCTGGCCTTGTTTGTTGGCTTCCTACCCTAGCAATAGGGTACCTTTCCAGGAGGGTGCAGGAGCACTGGGAAACCCAACCTGCAGCAAGGAAGCCAGCGTCCCATGTCCCCCTCTACAGTGGCTCTAGAGAAAGCAGGGAGGGCTGGACAAGCAGGATCTGGTGGGAGAAGGGCTGGACAAGGGTTTCAAAACTCCCAGTTGGAAAAGTGGGAGCTTGTCCTTTTCCTTCCTTAAAATTGATACAAGGGGAGGCAAAGGGGAAAAAAAAAGGTTTTATTACATCTTTTAGATACCCCAAGGAAGCCTTTCTGGGGTGCAGCTACAGGGGAGAATGGTCCATCAGCAGCTATACTGCAATATGAGACACTCACAAAAAGACTACCTTTAAAGTGGGATGGCAAACCAATCTAGAGGGATGGCAAACCAATTTTTTCAATTTCCCCTATAATTTGCAATCAGCTCCTGTTCACTACTATCATTCCAGAGACATGGATCAGATTACAGTTTTGGGTGGAGCATTTGGAAAATGGTCTCCCTTATCCCCAGTTGGAGAAGTTGAGTCAAGTTACACATGCCATTTCACCTTACTACCTGGTTTCTGGTCTCAAAGCTGCTTTCATGTGTAAAATGGCCAGAGCCTGAAGAGTTTTCTTTTTAGAGTGAGATTTCATTTAAAAAAGCACAAAAGCTCTCTCTCTAAACAAAGGCTTTTGAGATGTCTTCCCAGCCTATTATCAGAATAAAACCATATTTCCTTCCATAGCTGACAATAGGGACTCAGTGAAGTTCTGTGAGCAAGCAGACCAGCTAGATAATGTTCAGATAATGGGATTGGCTTATAGATAGGAAAAATTTCAAAGTATTTGATTTTAAAAGCATTTATGCCTTTCATTAATTTTTCACAGTCCTCATTAAGTCCTCATTACTTTTCCTACGCTACACAAATGAGAGAACATGTTCTTAACCTTAACAGCAAAAATAACATGTTCCTGTGGGCTATCCAGCCAGACTTGAACAAGGAAGCATGGCTAGAGGAGGAAGGTGTACCCAGAGCTTTGCGAAGCTGGGTATAATTTCCAAACTCACTCCAAGTCTCATTTTTTCCAGCTCCTGGCCTACTCTAGAATATTTGTTTTCATATACTTTCCAAGCACTTGATTATTTTAGTCAACTAATAGTTATTCAAAATTTCCTTCTTGTCTGTTCTAAATTCAACCCAGATTCAGAGGAAGGTTTTCAAACCTCACTCGAGTGGTAGGTCAGCTCTGGCTCATCACACTCACACAGGTACATATGCTGAAAACAGGGAGACTAATTTTTTTATACAACTGAAAACATATTTACTATAGGTGTTGTTGATTGCTATGATGCTGTACCTGTTATTGCATCTTTAACTGTGACTGCAATACCGTAAAACAAAATGTTTTCCATCCCAGAAAAAAAATATTTGAGCTTCCTGTAAAATGATCACACTGATTCCCAGCCTGTACCAAAACCAGAGAGACTGCTCAGGGTTTCATCATAGGAGAAACTTTGATGTCAGGTTTCATAAAGCTTTAACAGCTGTGATACACACAGCTCACATGAAAGCTTCTGGAGCAATCAGAGCTTGAAGACACTTCTCTTAAGTTTCTGGTGATTGGGGAAGAGCGGTTAACAGCAGTGAAGAAGAGCAAAGAGGGGCTACTATAGCAAGGTAGACCCTCACTTTGTAAAATGGCCAGCAATTTCCCTCACTACAGGCAGCCACATGCTTGCTCCAGGCACTGCTGTAGGGTCCTCAGCACAGGAGAGACATGGACATGTTGGAATGGGTTCAGAGGACCTCAAAAAATAATCTGAGGGCAGGAGCACTCCTCCAGTGAAGACAGGCTGAGAGAGTTGGGGCCGTTCAGCCTAGAGAAGACAAGGCTCTGGGGAGATCTATAGCAGTACCTAAAGGGGAGAGCTGGAGAGGAAACTTTTACCAGGGCATGTAGTGATAGGACAAGGGGGAATAGCTTCAAACTGAAAGCGGGTAGATAGTAGGAAGATATCAGGAAGAAATTCTTTCTTGTGAGGGTGGTGAGGCACTGGAGCAGTTTGCCCAGAGAAATTGTTGATGCCCCATCCCTGGAAGTGTTTAAGGCCAGGCTAGACAAGGCTTGGAGCAACCTGGTCTAGTGGGAGGTGTCCCTTCCTATGTCAGGAAGGCTGGAACTAGATGACTAACTTTAAAAGTACCTTCCAACCCAAATCATTCTATAATTCAATAATTCTATTATATGATTTGCAGAGTTCAGGAGTGCCCCAAATATCACCCTGGAGCCCACGGCGCTTGTCTGGTTTTTCCCCTTCCTTCTCCAGCCCACAGTGGGATTAAGCCTCACATCGATTTAATGTCATTTTACAGCATTCTCCCTCTCCTGGCCGTGGCATTACTGGCCCTGGCCTGTCTCTTGGATCCTACACAAATGCGGAGCTCCCCTTGCTGGCGACAGCCGGTACGGGAGCGGCTCCCGGCTCCGAGCGCCTTGCAGCGACACAAGCGCGTCCAGGTCGACGTGGGAATTCCGAAATCGAGGGGAGTAAATCAACCCCAGCCTCCCCAGAGCCTGCAAGCAGGCGGCTGCGGGGCTCCAGTGCGGGTTTCTGGCGCCGGGGTGAGGAGAGAGCTGCCGGGGGGATGGACCCTCAGGCCGCCGTGTGGCCCCGGTTGTGCAGCCTCCCTGCCCCAGGGTTTGCGAGTACCGCATAGAAAGGAAGTAGCAGGCGTCTTCCTCCTGGAGCAAGGCACAATCCCAGCTATTTCATCTTAAATATAGTACAGTCAGCATCCACAGCAATCAGGGAAAGAAATATCCTGGAAAAAAATAAAACGCTTCTAGTACCAACCACATAAAAATTACAGAATGAGGACTACAATAGGGGCTTAATGAAGGAAGGAACGCTGTTACAGAAAGCAGTGATGGCTCACTTGCTAGCCAGAGAGGCTTGGGAGTCCACACAGCGGACAGGCTGCTCCCCAACCTGACCTGCTCACAGAGCATCCGCGTTGAGTTTGTGCACCACTAATTATTGCACAACCCACTCACAGAACAGAAAGGGCAAAGAGTGGTTAGGGATGTGGTTTAGTTGTGGACTTGGCAGTGCTGGGTTAATGGCTAGACTCAATCTTAGTGGTCTTTTTCAACCTAAATGATGCTATGACTTTTACTTCCACTACTTGCAATGCCCAGTGCATGGCTTGACTTGTTGCATTCAACATTGGAACCAGGGTTTGTCACAAAATAGAAGGACAAATCTACTTCGGATACAATATAACAGTACAAAATGAAAGACCTTCATTTTCATGATTAAAAAGAAAAAAGTCATTGCTCAAAATAAAAACGTTCCTGTGGTACTGACCACAACTAGAAAAAGTGACATAGCCTATGTGATAAATTGCAGATAGAAGTCTCTGGAAGGAGCAAAAAAGATAAATATATTACCTGATATCATCCAGCATACCATAAGATAACTGTATTTTTAAACATTGTTTTATGGTTATTTGCTCTTCAGCAACACCAGAGGGCTAACTAGGTACATAGACACAGCTGTTCAGTATGGACAGCCCATCAAAGTGCTCTCTTTTAACACTTCAGACAGTTTGGTCATTTCTCTCTCTTTCACGTGCTATCACTTATGGCCTCTTGGTGCAGGAGAAAGATAGCTTGGCTTAGACAACACTGTTGTTTGCCTTGTTCTCAAGTGTATTGATGACAATTTGTATTTTCAAAATGTTTCTTTACTTCAACTGGGAGTGGGACATCCAAGCTGTGGATGAAGCAAAGGGACAATAAGGCTAAAGCAGCTTCACTTGCACACTGTGAGCAAGCAACAAACCTCTGGCTTCTCTACAGGCACATCTTCACAGGTCATTGAGGTGCAGGGACATATTCCCACCCCAGGAATGCCCTATGAACAGCACCACCAGGCCCATGGTGTGGCACCCACCTTCCACATGCTAGAATCAGCTGGAGTTGCACTGTTTAAGTAAACTCATATTATTCACTGTAGTGTGGAAGTCATATGTTGCTTGCTGGAGCTGGTAACTAGTCAAAGCATATTCCTTCTTTCCTGACTCAGTAGTGGTGATTCCCAGAACGTAACTATAGTCTGGCTTCCTTGGTTTATTTTGTTTAATAAACTATTGTTTACATAATTGAATACCATAAAATATGCCCAACCTTTTTGCAAATGTATTAAGTTGTTATTATTGTTGTTGTTTAAGTATTATATTATTGTTGTTTTGCTATACTTTGTTATTATATATTGTTGTTGGTATTGCTATACTTTGTTATTGTTATTATGTAACTACTTTGGTAATCATTTTGGTCCAGAAAAAAATAATTTGAAAAGCATTAGACAAATTGCTAAATTTGACTTACGGTTAGAGTAGGTAAATAAATTATTTGAGGATGGTGCTCTGCTTTTTTTTCTTTTAATGCCCCAGGTCCCATTGAGTTGTTTGGGGATTTGTATGACGCATGAACTTCATTTAAGTATGAAGTTCATCAAGGTATCCTTCTCCCAGTAAAATGCATCCTCACAGAAGACACACTGATAAAGAGGTGTGGCCCTTTACTTCCATATGGCCAGGATTTTGGTGGGTGCAGATTCTTCTTGGTAGATAGATATAATTCACTTTAGGCTGCCATTGCTAGCCTGCATTGCAATATTATCATTTCCATGGAGGGAAATTTTATTCTATGTATGTGGAAAATACTGATCTACATTCAGAGTAAGGTATTGAGTGTGAGAAGAAGCTCCCAAACAGTGTATAGAAAGCAGCAGTGGAAGCCTTATAATGATGGAGCATGAAAAGACATGGAAGATGCAAAACACAATAATACCAGAGACCAGGTGAGCCCAGAAAGGCAGATCCTTCCCCAAACAAGCCACCACAGAGGAGTTGCTGGGCAGACTGCCTGTGAGGCAAGAGAGGAGCCTGGTTGCTCCATTAATACTGTATTTACTGCCATGAGACTATCCATGCATACAAAGGAGTCACCAACCCAGAAGGATTAGCCTAAGTCTAGGTACAGTCAAGACTGAGTTTAAAAGCAGCCTTGGAAAAATTCCTCCTTTAGGGACCTCTGGCCTCTGAGGAAGTTGCAGGTAAGTCACTCCAAGGTAGATTCTAAAGTTACTTAGGTGTCCAAATATTGGAAGCTCATAGGGGTTTTGAAAGTGTGCAAGCTTCCAAATCCCATCGATGGTAGACTGCAAAACTACTTACCTTACTGAAAATCCTTCTCCATTCCCAAACCGCATCTTTAGCATTTATGGTTGTCTAGCTCACCTGCACTTCAGGTGAAGTGAACTCATGGCACTTTCATACTGCAGAAGTTCAATGAGAGCTAGTGAAGAAAAATGTTACAAACAACTTGTGTTTTTTTATAACTGGTTAATTATCTTTTTATGGAAACAGGATTGCTCTTCATGGATCAATATTACTGCTGCATTTCTTAAAGATGCCTGAAATCTACTGAGTCTCTTGGTTTCTCCCTACTTCTCAAAACAAAAGGTTGCTTACCTTTTCCCAATAAGAAATTATTCAGGAAAAAAAATGCAAAAGGTCAACTATGGTAATTTAGAGTATAGGCCAAAGTCCTCTGTGATTAGTCAATATATTAAAAGTATTACTCATTATGTTAAATATTAAACCTGGCAGCTACTTATATCCAGGACTCTTCAGACACAGATCCCACGTCTGAAGATTTATTCTGACAGGTCTTCCTACATATTCCTTACTGATATTTTAGCTTTTGCTTGTTATTTTCATTACTCCAGTTTTGGATAAGCTAAAAAATTATTTTAGTATAGATCATAAAAATGAACATTGAGCTAGTATTGTATCAATTTTTGAAGGAAAGCATTAGGAAATAATTGTCATCATACTATTTATTTAATTGTTGGATAAAAATACCTTTAATATAGGTAAATATTCCCATTCTGCTCTTATCAAGGTTAACTTGGATAAATTACACATCAGTTTTGACACTGACTCCAGTCTTGAAAGTACTTGGCTCTAGAAACATAAGAAACAAAGATTGAAAAACGTGATTCAGAAGAGGCATGAGGAATGACCCATTTCTGGATCATGAGAGGAAAGGTTTATTGGAATCTGAAACTCGACTATCAGCAGAAAATGAACTAATAAAATTATGTAGCAGGCCGTGGACAGCAGGAGCTGGGAGAAACTCCTTACTCTGAGGAGCTTCATCACTAGACCCGTTAATATTTAGCTATGTTTGATTGTCCTGTCTCTTTCAGCAAGATATGGAAAGACTTTGTGATGATGTTGTCAGACTATGTAGAAGGCCCTTTGTTCTCTTTCCCCCATGTGGTTCTCGCTATGGGAAAATATTAGCCACTTGTGTAACTGTAGCAGAGAATTGTGTAATCCTCTAGTTAGCATAATTCATCCCTTAGTTAGCATAACCCATCCTCTTTATTAACATGTCCTGCCTCCAAGACCCTTATATTGTATGTCACGTGTTCCATAAATATTCCAGCTTCTACCCCTGACCTGGGATCGTGTAGTTTTATTGACCACTTACAAAGGTTGTCTCAGCTTTGATGTTGTAGCCACTTTGCAACAGAAACTCATGTGTTTGGCGTCAGGTGTTGCCTGTTATGACACAACAGACTTAGCTCAAGTGGGCAGCCCGCAGCATCCTGCCAGTGCCCCAAAGAAAGGCAGGAGATGTGACAGCAACCTATAAGTAAAAAATACCACTGGCAGCACCAGCGACAGCAAAAACTGAAATTTTTTTTTTGACTCTGTAGGTGCTGAGTAGAGGAGATGTTCCCTCAGAGCTGTGTTCTTTGCCCCAGCCAGAGGAGTCCGTCAGGGATTACACCTCCTGGTCACTCAGTTGAGTTTATTTCCCTCAAAAAAGTCAGAAATATGGGCAATCTCTTACTGTTTTCAGAAACTGTGTGAGTTGCAAATTCTGTAAAAATTATATAAATAGAACTAGATGTAAAGTGATAAATTAGGCTACATAGGCAGCAGTGATGTCTATTTTTACATAATGTTCTTTATATCTTTGAGCTGTGGTCACTGTTTTTAGGATGATGTTTCTATTCGTCCCATATTCCTCTTCATCTGCCCACCTTCCTCATCTTTGTTTTAAGAAAAGGAAAATCCTTTTAGGAATTTTCCTAAATTGTCCTAATTCCTAAAGCAAGTAATCTTGCTCTTCTTAGAGGTTGGACTGGATGATCTTTAAATGTCCCTTCCAACCCAAACAGTTTGATTATTATGAGAACTGAATACACCCACGACCCCTGGATGCCTGGTTACCCTGCTGGTATTGGCAAGGCAGGTAAAAGTTATTTGAAGATGGGGTAACATGCTAACAGCAAACTGGCATAAGGCCTTTGTCTTTGGAAGCCAGGCCAGGTCACAGAGTCATAGAATGGTTTGGATTGAAAGGGAGCTTCAAGATCACCTAGTTCCAACTGGCCTTAAACACTACCAGGGATGGGGCATTCACAACTTCTCTGGGCAACCTGTTCCAGTGCCTCACCACCCTCATAGTAAAGAATTTTTCCTAACATCTAATCTAAATCTCTCCTCTTACTTATTGTCTCTGAACCCATGGCAGTTAAGTAATTCACTTGTTAAAAACAATATTAGATATTAGGAAAAGGTTCTTCATCCAGAGGGTAGTTGGGCACTGGAACAGGCTTGTCAGGTCACAGTACCAAGCCTGCCATAGTTCAGGAAGCGTTTGGAAAATGCTCTCAGGCACATGGTGTGATTCTTGGGGCTGTCCTGGGTAGGGCCAGGAGTTTTACTTCCTTGATCCCTGTGGATCCCTTACGATTCAGGATATTCCATGATCCTGTGAATCTTCCAGATGTACCAGCTCCATCAGCTGTTGCAACACAGCACCTCCTCAGCCTGCAGGACAGTGCCATACCATGTACTTTTACATGTGTTGGGGCTGTTTAGAGCTACAAAGATGATCAAGGGACTGGAGCATCTCTCTTATGAGGAAAGGCTGAGGGAACAGGGCCTGTTCAACCTTGAGAAGGGACAACTGAGAGGGCACATCGTATGTCCGTATCTGAAGGTAGGTGTCAAGAGGGTGGGTTCAGGCTCTTCTTGGTGGTGCCAAGTAATAGGACAAGAGGTAATAGGCAGAAACTGATGCACAGGAAGTTCCACCTAAATATGAGGAAGAACCTTACCGTGTGGTTGACGGTGCACTGGAACACATTGCCCAAGGAGGGTGTGGAGTCTCCCTCACTGGAGAGGCTCCAAAAACTGACTGGACGCAATACTGTGGCATGTCCTCTAGGATGGACCAGGTTAGATCAGATGACCCACTGTGGTCCCTTCCAACCTGACCCATTCTGTGATTCTGTGATTCCGTGTCACTGGCTCCCTCCCGCCAGGAACAGTCACAAGAGCTGGGAACGGGACTTGCTCCTGACAGATGGCGGAAGCTGAGACAGCGGCAGCCCTGATTGCACAATGGTCCTCGAGAAGGCGGTGCAGGAGGCCGGCGAGCGGCAGTTCCGCGGCGTTGGAAGGCGGGAGGGACGCGCAGCCCACGGTGAATCCCGAAGCGGCGCCGGCAGGGTACAGGACGGGATAGAAACCGACGGGAACAGAGGCAACGGCCAGCCCTCGGGGGTGGGGAAGGGGAGGGGCGATGAGATACGGCTCCGCCCCTCTCCGCGCAGGAAACTCCCGCCGTTGCCTTACAAGGGCAGGAGAGCGCTCCCTCCGCCCCCCGCCCCTGGAATGCGGTGACCGCACTGCGCTGCACCAACGCGGCGCCGAGGAGGGGGGAGACACGTACAGGGGCCGGGTCCGAGATTCCGACCTTCTCCTCTCGGAGATGGCGAAGACCACTCGGCAGGAACGCGAAACGCACGGGTCGCCGCGGGTCCTCTCCCCTGCCCGGCTTGTGGCACCTGACTGCCGGAGCGACGAGCCTCGCCGCTCCCTCCCCCCCGCGCGGATGGTCTCGCCCACGGCTTCCTTCCTCTCCGGCGGGGCGGCGGCCGCTCTGCTCTCCGGAAGTGCCGCGCCCGCCGCTCCTGCCGCGCTGCCACTGGGACCCTCTCCCGCCGCCGCCAGGTGAGCTGGGGGGTCCACCCGGGAGTCTGGGGCCAGGGGGACGTGATGGCTGGGGCGGGGCCGAGCCGGGCCGCCTGAGGAGCCGGGGTGTCGCTGGCGGTGCCGGGGGTCGCTTGCGGCCTCGCCCCCCTTGGGCCTCGCTCGGTGCTGCCGCTCCTCCTCGGCGGGACCCGCCCTGCCGGCCGGGCTGGGGGCGACCGCGGCTCGGGGGCCCGCGGCCCATGCCCTGTGAGCCGGGCGGGGCGCGACGCCGCGGGCATGGGGCAGGGGCTGCAGCGCCAGCGGGGATGAGCTCCCTGGGCATTGTTTCGGGGAACAGGTGTTAAAGGATACTCTTTGGCTCCCTGTCGGAAGGGGTCGGCTGCCTCCCGGCCGCATCGGCCCTCAGCGGCTGTTTCCTCGGCTTTGTTAGGGCACGGGAAGGGCTGGGCTGGGGATGCAGTGCTGGGAAGAGGAAGAGGTCTCGGGGGAGGTCCTCGGTCTGTTCCCGGCTGCGCACCGTTTGGAATGAACACGGCCGCGACAGAGACACTGGGGACAGTGCAGTGGGTCCCTCGGTCTCGGAATCACAGAATCAATTGGGTTGGAAGAGATCTCTGAAATCATCGAGCCCAACCTATGGATCCAACACCACCTTTCAACTAGACCATGGGACTAAGTGCCACGTCCAGTCTTTCCTTAAACACCTCCAGGGACGGTGATTCCAACACCTCCCTGGGCAGTCCATTCCAAAGCCTAATCACCCTTTCTGTGAAGAAATTCCCCTAACTCTAACCCAAAGCTCCCCGGCGAAGCTTGAGATGGTGTTCTTCTGTCCTGTCACTTTTTCCTTGGGAGAAGAGCCCGACCCCCATCTGGCCACAACCTCCTTTCAGGTAGTTATAGAGAGTGATAACCCTGAGCCTTCTCTGTTGCAGGCAGGCTGACTCACAGGCGCTGGATTTTGAGGCAAGCGTGACTCCTGTCTAAGGGGTTTGGGAAACAGTGGAGGAGTGTGTTAAGGTGGCTCTCAAGACTGGTGCAGTGGTGTAGGGTGTAATCTGCTCTTTATTGAGCTTTGACACAGATCTGCAGAATGCCTTAGTTTTATCTCTTCCTGCTACCACCCAGATTGTGGTGGATGCGTGACTGTATGTGATGCTGTAATGGATTATGTGGACAGAACTTGGGCTTTAGCTTTGAGGCTGACTTTTGAGTTTGATGATATCTTAGTTCAGGTGGAGACTTTCTTGGCTATGGGTTGCGGGGATTAATTGTGTGGTGGCTTGGTTTTTTTAATTTTGAGTGATAGGCATCACAGTTATTACAATATTCACAATGTTGAAATGTGAGGGTGTTTTCCAAAGTGCAGCTTTTGGTTCCTGCCTCTGAACAGGTTCAGCCTGCAGCACTCTTAGTGGGTTGTAAATTTTCACAGCTTATTGTCTGGTTCAATATCTTTAGTTGCTTGTTTTGGTCTTCTCCAAGGGTTTATCACTTTCCCAGAGAAAGGGACC